GCAAACCACTTCTGAAAAACCTTGCCAAGAAAACTGCAGGGACTAGTCCAGGCAGTCGCCATGAGTCAAAAACTGACTTGCAGACACCACAAAACCGAAAAACCAAAAAAACCAAAACCCACCCTGACATGGATGACATCTTGCAGCTGGCCCCCTCTCTTTCTCAATTTCAAGTTGCAGAACCATTTTCTATTCTGCAGTGCCCCTTCTCTTCTTTTTCCATGCAGAACAAGAGTAGATGTCACTGTAAATAAGCACTTATAGGATCTGGCTCTAAGTCTGCTGCTATTTATTTTTTTTGAAATTCAAAATTTCAGGATTATAAACATCGTACAAGAGGTTCTTTTTAATACAGAAGACAAGGACGCAGTATTAACAAATGGTGCAGGTTTCAAACTGCTTTTTCCCTTCTTTGGATGAAATGACATTTGGAAACAGTAAATCAAGGAGACCTTTCAAATGTCTTGAGGAAAAAAACCCCAATCCTGTGAGTATGTGTACACAGAAGTACTAAGAATCTAACAAAACAAATTCCGCAGTTTTCTAGCCGATTTGGGAAACTGACTCCATCTAAAAACAAGTGTCAAGTTTGGAATGGAATGGAAAAATAAATCAGATAAGGTTCCTTGCAAGGCTACAAGGGAAATCAAGAGATGATGATGAAATTGACTATAAAAAACAAACAAAACAGACTGGTGATGTTTCCCACTCCCATTTTAATTATGTTTTCTCAAAAGTTACCTTAGCTATCATCCATTTGCTTTGTGCTGAAGCCAAAAACAGGGAGAGAGAGAAAGAACGGCTGAAATGGCAATGAAAAGCACCCACTTTACCAGGTGTGTAGCAAACATGAGGAGTGAACAAAATGAAGGGGTAACATTACCTATTCAGTTGTCACAAATGCTGCATGGATAGGACATTGCAAGATGTATGCCAGAAACAGATTCAGCCTGAAATGTGGAAAGTCTACAGAAATGTCCCTTTCACCTTATAGCAGAAGAGCAAAAGCAAGCTGTGCCCTCTATTTGTACATAACCAGTGACAAATTGCAATATAAATAGACACATTTTTTCTCTTCGTTTCTTCTTCCTTCAGTTTCATCAGATTGTTTATATCTGCAAAGTTCTCAATTTGGAAAGTTTTGACAAGATACCTGTGGAATAGATTAGCATACCTTTCTCTATATTCTATATAGGGAGAAAGTACTTACACACAGTGGGAGGAAATTAGTGAAGGTAGTGGCACAGTGCGCAGCCTTAGGAGAATTGAAGTCTTCTGTACAGAATTCAGGCACTGGGGTGAGTTGTGGTCCATTCCCTTTCTCCCAGATATATAATGCAATCTTTCAAAATGTAATTACATATATAAGTAGATAACAATTATCTATGTTATGCAGATACATTCAAGATTTTCAAAAATTTATATCAGAAAGAGAATTACATTTAGAGCGACTATTCTGTGTACAGTAAATAAATTTTCAAATTTGAAGCAGAATTGTCAACAATTACACTACTAAAGAAATGCTAGTACTGTACACAATCACAGAAATGACTTTTCTAGTGAGAACCCTTCAATCACCACAAATTTATTCATTCTTTATCAACTTTCCAAGAAATGTTATATAAACCCTTAATGTTCCCTAAAGATTTTCTAAGAAAGCTAAAAAAATGCAGAGCAGAAAAGGCCACATTTTTTTTATCAATTAAAATAAAAATCAACCAAAGGAAAAATATATGTTTCCATTACAAAGATGAACAGCTCCAGCACATAACGCTGCAGAAACCCCTGAGCCAGGAAATACTGTGCTGTTGTTGATAAGCCATTCTAGTGACTCTAGAGCAATGTTTTTCAAACTTGGCAACTTTAAGATGTGTGAACTTCAACTCCCAGAATTCCTCAGCCAGCAGGCTGGCTGGGGAATTCTGGGAGTTGAAGTCTACACATCTTAAAGTGGCCGAGTTTGAAAAACATTGCTCTAGACACTGCAGTAGGATAGACAGAACAATGGTCTGAACTACAATAAGGCAGCTTCTTACATTCCTAACAAGAGACACCAGCATGGGATTGTGGAGAAGGAGAGACTAAGGCAAAAAATATAGACAGGAACATGAGTTTTATAACCGTCTCGGACTCAATTTGGAATCAGAAGAAACAATATATGGCATGCTCCTTGGATGCTGCTTTTGAGCATGCCCAGAAATAATATTTTCCCTGGACCTCGTTTCTCTGAGATTTGGGAAGGGAAAACTAGGAGGGTATGGGAGAGCCAGGGTAGGGTAAGAGCAAATCAATAAGACTGAACCAGACTGTTGCATCCGCCCTACGGAACATCATTCCCACGGAGGTCAGACTGGCCTCAACCTTGCTGGCCTTCCAGAAAGGCCTGAAGACATGGCTTTGCCATCTGGACCGGGGATGAGAGACTGGTGGTGCGGAGCCTATAAACTGTTTATATTGTTCCTGTGACTGTGCTCTCCTGTTGATTGTATGGTATGGTTTTAATAGTTTTAATATCTGTATGCTTATTTTTTGGTTTTTTGGTATTGTTTGTGTTTTAATGTGGTAAGCCGCCCAGAGTCACATACGTGAGATGGGTGACTATATAAATCAATCAATAAATACGGATCAGGTCTTTTCAAACTGGGGAGTCTGTATTTCAAATTCCTTTATTTACAAATTTGGTCCTTTTACTAATTTTATCAGATATATCACTAAGTTATCACATAAAACTGCACATACGGTCAGTGGCTATTCTTTATTCCCAGGTGGAGAAGAAGATGACACAAATTAAAAATGAGTTTCGTCAGGACTAATAAGAACAGATGGCTGGGAAGGTTAGAAAGGGTCCAGTTGTGTTTGCTTCTCTATATCTACTCTTAATATTTGAATAAATTTGGCAAACAATTAATAAAATAATACAAAATTTTTAAAATCACATTCATACTGACAGCAGAATGATTTACTGTTTATTAATGTAATATATAACATGCAGCATTTAGAAAATAATTATTCAAATGCAACTTGACATTGGTAAAGATTAGGTTATAACACAGTAGGAGCATTATTTTCAGAAACCACTATTTTTTTTTAAAGAAACTTTGAAAGGAATAACTGTAAAGATATCCATAATACAGTCAGCATGTGCCAGGAAAAAAATGAATACAGTCAAAATATGGATTGCAATTAAATACATTAAAAATAATTATATTCTATCCAAAACCATAGTAGCATTGAGCATAGATGAAGAAGTCAAGAAAAATGTGACTTGAGGCATCGAATACTTTTCAGTGCTTTGTACTGCGTCCGAGCAAAGCAGGGTTCTTTTCACTTTTAATAACACCTACTATTACCATAAAGTGCCACAGTAAAGGAAAGAACAGATAGTAATGTTTAAATGTATATCTCATGAATAAATATAACTTGCATTTTGGACAAATAATTTTTCAGGGGCTTCTACAAATGTCTACAATTTCTATACTGTTAAAGCACATAAAACAGGGAGCATGTGAGAGAAAAAAAAGATCTATATGCTTGTGGGTTATTTATTTCCAGGCATATTCCTTATTTACAAATATCCCCTCCTGCTGTTGAAGATAGAATTCCCACTGCCCAAGAATGGGCAGTTGTAGAGGCTGCTGACACTGGAATTCCCATTGCTGAACACTCAACATTTCTGTGTGGATGAGGTTGAGTTTTTGAGGAAGCTTCTGAGGGAAATCAAAGAATCATAAAATTAAAGGGGTCTTGAGGCTAAGATAGACTTTGTTCCATGGAAGAACCAAACCTAAAGTATTCATGTCACATGGCTATCCACTATCTGCCTGAAAATATCTAGTTATGTAAAAACTACCACCTCTCTGGAAATTAATTCACTGTTGAACTACTTTTACTATGATAAAATTTGTCCTAATATTCAAGTGGAATCTCCCGCCTTATAATTTAAATCTATTATTCCTTATCCTACTATCTGGAATGAGGGAGAACAGATCTTGGCTTTCTTCTATGTAACATTCCTTCAAGTATTTGAAGAGCGCTAGGCAAAAGGAGAAGAGGACGGCAGAGGATGAGATGGTTCGATAGCATCACTGAAGCAATGAGCGTGAAACTGAG